TGGCCACGTATTAAAATGAAACTATTACAAGATAATAGGAGCAGAGGCGGTCTAGGACTACCAGAATGGGAGCTTTATTATCAGGCAGTGGTGTTGAGTTGGATTAAGGATTGGATTAAATTAAGAGACAAGAGAATCTTAACATTAGAAGGACATGACCTCTTGATAGGTTGGCATGCATTTTTGTGGGAAAATAAAAGTAATATACATACCTATTTCAATGAACACCTAATAAGAGATTCATTGATTACAATTTGGGGAAAAAAATCAAAGGTAAACACTGTACAGAAATCCCATGATGGCTGTCAACCATGGAAGCCATAATACATCCAAATAGATTAGACCTACGGAAAATGGTAAGCTATGAAGAACTATTAGATAGCCAAGGGAAATTAAAATCAAACGAAGAAATGAAAGAAAATGGAATTATAATCGATTCATGGCCATATTTGCAAATTCAAAATAAATATAAAAAAGACTCAAAAGATTTTGGATTTGACAAAGGGCAGAACCAACTAGATAAAATATTAATGGGACTGGAACAAAAACTTATAAATAAAATATATAAATATTTATTAGATTTTAAAATGGAAGAGGAAATAGTCAAAAGTACAATGATTGCATGGGCACAGAATTTTGGATACACTATAGAATTAGAGGAATGGGAAAAATATGGAATATAAATTATAAATTAACGGTATCTGCTGCATACAAACAAAATATATATAAAATGTTTTATAGATGGTATTTAGCCCCAACAAGATTGGCAAAAATCTATTCCAATATGAGTCCTAAATGTTGGAAGTGCAAAAAAGTTGATGGTACATTTTATCACATGTGGTGGATGTGCCCCGAGGCCAGGACATACTGGATCCAAATTAAAAATTGGTTAACAGAGATCACTGGCTATCAGATTGAGCTCAGACTGGAATCCTTCCTATTAGGAATTATTAAAGAAAGACTACCGAAAGAAGTAAAATACCTAGTGTTACATATTATAACAGCCGCCAGAATAGCCTTTGCACAGGTATGGAAAACACCAAATACCCCTAATGAAGAACTAATAATACACAAAGTAACAGAAAGTGCTGAGATGAATATGCTAACAATGAAATTGAAAGAAAAAGACGACTCTGAATTCTTTACAATTTGGAACAATTGGTATAAATGGCTAAAAAACAGAACCAAGAAGGGAGACAAAAATGTTAATTGAAACAGCCCTTAAGAAAGTAAAATAAAATTTTGTAAACTATATAAAGATATAAGAATAATAATTATAGCTAAAGATATTATTTAATAGTAGATAAACGCAATATAATGTATTATGATATTTAAATCAAAATCTTGTATAGATGCCAAGAACGTTGTTGATACCATGATGCTTTACGATGTAAAAAAAAAAAGGAAATTAATAAAAATTATTTAATAAAAAAAAGAAGACCCACTCTCATCTAAGGCAAGGGGGAATGGAGCCAACAGATAGGAGAAAATAGTGGATCTCAGGCAGGAATCTTAGAGAAAGAGAAAAGAGCAGAGAATTGCATAATTCAGGATTTAGGGAAACTGTTGGTAGCGTAGGGTAGCTGCACAAACCCTGTTTTATTTTATTGTAATATTTCTCATCTTTGATTCCCCTGGCAGCATGTAAAACGATATGGAAATATATACTCCATGTGGCTCGGACCTTACCTTGTGGTCGTGCTGTCTGGATTCAAAGCTGTGAAAGAAGAAATGACCAGATTCTCAGAAGAATTCTCTGATCGACCAAATGATCCTTTCTTGACTGCTTTAGGAAAAGGAATGGGTAGGTGCAAATTGTAAGGAATTGTATCTCAATAACCATCATACTATTATAATTTGTGGTAATATTATTCAAACCATGGAGAGGGGGAAAAAGAGTAAGACATAATAAACAAAATGATTTAAAGGCACGATATAAGCAAAATAAATATTGCTTAATTTACTTTCTGCTGATCTCACCAATTTTGTCCAATACAAGTTTCTCCATCTTTCGCTTCCTTTTGACATAGATAGATAGATAGATAGATAGATAGATAGATAGATAGATATAGATATAGATATATGCAAAATACCACTTACACATCATCACAAAATCTCCAGAACCATAAAGCCTACAAACTTGAAATTTGGCACATAAATGGATGGCTATCATTTATTGGGAAGCTAGGTTTCATCTGGGTGCCTGGCTGGGGTGTGTTTGAGCTGGAGGTATCAGGGGGGATCTGTTTGTGCCCAGGTGTTTCTCTGGCTTGTGGTGTGGAGAATTTTTTGTTTGTGAGTGCAGGCTTCCAAATGATTGACAGTCTGTTGGAATCATCTCTTCTATTCATGCTTTCAGGTCTTTTTTCAATCTCTATGGCTTCTCTGATAATTCTGTGGCTATAGTGGCTAGGCTTTTGGTGCCATTGAAGTCGATGCTATGACCTGTTGCTTTCATGTGTTGGACTAGTGAGGAAGTGTGTTCCAGCTTTTTTACTGCATTTTTGTGTTCATCCAGGCGGGTACTTATTCTTCTATTGGTCTGTCCAATGTATGTGGCAGGGCATGATGCACAGGGGACTTCATATACTTTGCTTGTGTGGAGTGACCATTCAAAGTTACAATGGCACTTGAAAAAGTGACTTATGACCATTTTTCACACTTATGACTGTTGCAGCATCCCCACAGTCATGAGAGGCCAGGCGAGGAGATGCGTGCCTCGATGTGAGTGATATTGAGTTGGCCACACCCAGCTAATAATATGACCACCAAGCCATGTCCACCCAGTCACATGACCACCAAGCCACGCCCACCACCTAAGCCACACCCACAGAACCGATTGTTAAAAAATTTGAATCCCACCCCTGGGTGCCTCCCTGCACCAAATTTGATATTTCCACCTGAAATCTAGAGAGATGTTTGGCAACAACTAGATCTAAGCAGTTTTTAACATGAATGTTATCAGGAATAACTTCTTGTCTGCTGATGCCCCACAGGAATTATTCTTTCCAATGGCCACACCTGGAAACAGCAGCGACACATCGGCATCACTTCTCTGAGGAAGCTGGGCCTGGGGAAGAAAAGCATCGAGCATAGAATAGAAGACGTTGCTCAGACATTGATAGACAACTTTAGACAAACAAATGGTATGTAATTTGGGGTAATAACAATGGCTCAAGTCCCTATCTGCTGATATCTTTTCCATTCTGAGCATTTCGAATAAAAACCTGTGTATTTGATTTGATTTTTCTATTTCTCAAACAACTAGTTCCAAATTCTTTTCCTTCTCCCCCTTAGAAATCATGTTCCCTAAACATTCATCATAAAATATCTTCATTTGCAGGACAACCATTTGACCCTTCGTTTCTGCTACTAAATGCAGTTTCTAATGTCATCTGTGCTTTGAGTTTTGGGCATCAGTTTGCTTCTGAAGATGAACATTTCCAGAAGTTAATTCAAGCCCTCAGAACTATTGTGGATTTTTTGGTTGGCTTTTTCCATATGGTGAGTTATTTCTCTATAAGAGAGACAAAACTCCCCCTCAAACCTATATTTCCTCCAGTATTTTCATGTAGTCGTGTAAAGCATGGAGGAAGCCTTGCAAATACACACTCTGATGCTAAGGAGTTCTACTCCCCCTCCCCACCTGAAAAGAAATCCGTTCCAAATGCAAAACACAAGCAGAGCAGAGGAGTTTCTGTTTCTGTTTTAGTTTCACAGCAGCAACCAGCTTTAGTACAGAACAGTTGAGCTAAGCCACGCCCAGGCTCCTTTCTGTCTCCTTCTTGCTCACACAGCTAAAACTGTTTCAGTTTCCATATTTCAGTTTCCAAACAGCCCTCAACTCTCCCACACACTGACAGGGCGCTAGCCAGATGAATACCGATGGATGCTGTAGGCAGAGGCACAATTTTTTCCCCTTATTTTCCTCCCCAAAAACTAAGCCCGATCACATAGTTTCATAGCGGGTCTAGAGATAGTCAGTTTATATATTTTTTATTAGTAAGTGCTGTCTGTTACTGTCAACTGCTGAGAGTTTTCTCCAATTGTGATGGGAAATAAGTAACTTTTCCTCTGCCTTTTCTGTAGGTATATGGTTTGTTCCCCACAATAATGAACTACCTCCCAGGCCCCCACAAGAAAGCCTTGGCTTCTACAGCCTGGATCCTCTCCTTTGCAAAGCAAGAAATACAGAAACACAAAGAATCCAGCTCTCTTCATGAGCCACAAGATTTCATTGATTACTATCTTCTTGAGATGGAGAAGGTACGAGTTTATTGTAATTCAATACATGGGCAAGGAAACAAGGGAATTACCATATTTTGCAATGTATAAGACACACCTTTCCCCCCCACCTCAAAAAAGTGGGTGGAAATCCCCACTGCCTGGAACGGGCCAAAAATGGGACACGTGGAGGTCAAAAATGGGATGCACGGAGGCTGAAAATGGGGCCAAAAACAGAATGTGAAGGCCGAAAATGGGATGCACAGAGGTGGCAATAGGTGATGGTGATCCCTGCAGCCTGAAACAGCTGATTGTCAGGAGGTCGATCCAGCCAACAATCAGCTGCTTGTGCTAAATCAGGCTGTGCTGAAGCTGAAACAGGCTGTTTGCTGTTTGCTGCAAGGAGACAAACTGTTGGGAGGCAGAGGCAGATTTTTTTTCTTGTTTTCCTCCCCAAAACCTCAGTGCATCTTATACTTTGGAGTGTCTTATAGTCCGAAAAACAGGGTACTTGTTGCTGTGTATTAATAATTCACCTGTGGAGATGGTTAGCTGCATCAGGTTTCTGGTTGTGCAACTAACAAGGAAGTCTAGCTTGGTCGCTCAACAGTGAGACACTGATGAAGCAGGTACAGATGCACCTGCATTTTCTGTGTTGTATGAGAAAAGTACATGTTCCTTCTCCTGTCCTTACCACTTTCTATAGAGGAACGATTGAGAGCATCATGTCATATTGCATTACTGTCTAGTTTGGAAGCATTACTGCTTTGGACAGGAAGGCAGTGCAGAAAATGGTGAGGGTGAGCAGAAAAAGATTATTGGTGATTCACTTCCTTCTATCCAGGACATAGTACATAATCGATGCTTGAGCAAGGTGCACAAGATTGTCTGGGATGCTACACATCCTCTTCACAACCTCTTTTTTTCCTTGTTACCTTCTGGGAGAAAGGAGGCTTTGTAATATCTAAAGCAGAACATTTAGATTCAGTCACAGTTTTGTACCAAATAGTATCAACACCTTGTGAAATCTTGTTTCCTCTTTCCGCCTATGTATTCAAAATGGACAGCGATTTATATATATCTAAATCAATTGTCCATATGTATATATTTTTGGTTGTAGGTATATAGATGTATGTATATAGCACTTTCTTTTGAGAGCAGCAACAGAATTTCATTTTTAATGTGTGCCAGTGTGCCACATAAAAAAATAACTATAAAGATTGTCTTATCTTATCAGCATCTTATCTTACCTTACTTTACCTATCTGACCTTATCTTACCTTATCAATATTACCTTCCTTCATCTTGTTTCTTTTTCATCTAGCTCTTATTTTGAATTTAGTTTATTAAGAGCTGCTCTTAATAAAACTCATATTGCACCTCTGGTTAGAAAAGCTGTTCTACATAGCTTTTAGAAATGATTCTGTGATAATAAAAGTTGGAGTAAAAAATAACCACCTAAAACATTTTATTCAGTGTGTTTGTAATCCATTTATTTGTTTAAAAAGCTCTAATTCTTCCAGAAAACCAGAAAGCACAACCACAAAATGACTCAGGGAAAAATAATGGGGGACAAAACCCTTTTTTACTTCAACTTTCATTTTCCTCCATAGTGACAAATTTCTAAATGAGAATGCATGCAGGTAACATTGGTTGCTTGTTAACTTTTGTGATTCATATACACTAGTTACAGTTACGCATGTAAACATTTACTGAAGTAACCAATGATAAACTAAAACAATATTCATTAAAGTTCTTCCAAAGCTAAACCATCTGGCCTACTTTAACACAGACTCTTACTAGCTTTAAATTTACTGCTATAATTTTTACTCTCCTGCATTGATTTTCCTGTACAACTACCAAGAACATATTTATTCTCATGGTTTTTTATTTTTATTTATTTATTTGTTTGTTTGTTTGTTTGTTTGTTTGTTTATTTATTTATTTATTTATTTATTTATTTATTTATTTATTTATTT